AGAATAGAATAGAATAGAATAGAATAGAATAGAATAGAATAGAATAGAATATTGGATTGAAGAATAGAATAGAATAGAACAGAACAGAACAGAATAGAATAGAATATTGGAATGAAGAATAGAATAGAACAGAACAGAACAGAATAGGATTCTTTATTGGCCAAGTGTGATTGGACACACTAGGAATTTGTCTTGGTGTAAATACACTCAGTATACATAAAAGAAAAGATACATTCATTAAGAATCAAGAATCATAACGTACAACACTTAATGATAGTCATAGGCTTGAAGATGTCCACAGATATTGAAATACACACACTGGGAAGGACGCCAGACTCAGATAAGAACTGAAAGACTAGAAATATTTTCATGCTTTGTTTCCAGCACTGGGCCATGCACATTTTTTCCTTTTGAACAGTCCTCACAGCTGCAGCCCATGAAGGGGATCAGGGCCTTTTCCTCCCCCATAGACCACACCATTCACGTTTCTCCCTTATCCTCTCCTCCCTGCGTGCCCTAGGATGAAGAGGGGATGGACCTGGGTCTTCCTCTGACTGCCCAGCCAGCCTCTGCCCTTCCCCAGCCTCTTCCACAACCTCCAGAGTCACACTCCCACTCCCTGTCGGCTGTTCCTCCTCTCCCTCAGAGTCATGACACCTGGACAGGCATTCCTCAAGTTATGACCGTAATGGAGCCTGAGTCTTTTCTTAAAAACCTCCAGTGTTGAGGCACCCACAAGTTCTGGAGGCAACTTCTGTCCCAGTGGTTGATTGTCCCCCCTGTTAGGAAGTTTCTCCCTAGTTCCAAGTTGCTTCTCTTCTTGATGAGTTTCCATCCGTTGCTTCCTGCCTTGCCAGCCCTCAGCTCCGCTATTGTTTCGGTTCTTGCAGCTTAGCTTCCAGCGCAAAGTTGGGATCCTGTATTGCCGGGAGAAACAAGGCTCGGAAGAGGACATGTACAATAACGAGAAGGCCGGGCCCACCTTTGAAGAGTTCCTGAACCTCTTGGGCGAGCGAGTCCGCCTGCTCGGCTTCGACAAATACCGTGCGCAGCTGGACAACAAGAGTAAGTGTTGGGCATGATCAGCTTCTGCAAGTGGCTCTGCAAACGAATCCAGGTTTGCACAAACTCAGGCCCAGTGTTGCGCGCAGTCCCATCCTTGGAACAAAGGAGTGCTCAGTCAGTACTAAAAACTTATTTCATGACATGGTTGATAAGGTGTAAAGGTATGTAAAAAACACCTTGAAAAAATGGTGTCAAAGGACGAACGGATAAGAGACCAATCAGCCTTCTAGCTCCCTAGTTTCTCAGGCAGTAAAGGAGAGGGGAGAGAATCTAGATCTAGGGAAAGATTTCAGAGTGTACAGGTAGGTGGGAAAGACTTTGGGAGGTGGAGCAAAGAGACCTGCCCAGGAATGGTCAGGTAAGAGACAGCATAGCCCTCAGCTGTGCAACAGGCAGGACAGCAGACTCCGAAAGGACTCTCCTGAATTTTTCAGTCTGTGAAAGAGACAGGGAGGAGGAGAATTCTAATGTCGGTCTTGCAAGGTTCTGTTAACCTAGCTTTACATTAAAGTAGAGTTAAGCACATCAGGGGGTGTTAATGTGAGGCCGGATTTTAGGAGGGGATTTTAGCAAAACCAGCTCCCACCACCTCATCTGAAGGAATCCTGAGCGCAAGTGAAGGAGGAGTCAAAGGTGTCATTGGCTTAGAACAGTTGTGCGGCCGTTGGATTCCATTGACTCTTATCTAGCTGACCATGAATTGATTAGATTCTTCTGCGCAAGCTTGAATGAATCTTCTGTGCTTCAATCTTAATGGGTGTTTTTTTTTTATTCTTTGTGCCTGTCAAAGCAGTTAAAAGTCACCAAAACAATGTTTCCTCCTCCCTTCTTGCCCTATCTTTGCAGACGACTCCACAGGGACTCACTCCTTGTACACCACATATCAGGATTATGAGATTATGTTCCACGTCTCCACCATGTTGCCCTACACACCAAACAACCGCCAGCAGGTGAGCAACGTTTTAGTTTACCTCACTCTATTGTCATTGCGCCTCTTACAACGAAATCAAACACCCTCTTCAGTGCACCTCATGACCATGAAAATAAACACAAACACACATCCTTCACCCTTCACACATTGAACCGAAAACCCCCAACACCACACCAACACTGCACTATACAGCAGAATTCAGCAGAGCTCCTGCCCTGGGATAGAAGCTGTTTTTCAGCCTATTTCTCCTTGTTTTTATGATTATCCTGTACCGTTTGCCAGGTGGTAATAGTTCAAAAAAAGGGGTTCCCAGGATGAGATGGATCTTTGAGGATGTTTTGAACTTTCTTGAGGCAGCGGGAGATATAAAGCTCTTCCACAGAGGGGAGAGGGCAACCAATGATCCTCTGAGGGGCAATGACATTCACCCTCTGGAGCGCCGTCCTATCTGCCCCTGAGCAATTGGCTAACCCTACAGAGGTGCAGTGAGTTAAGATACTCTCTCTGGTGCAGCAGTAGAAGGTCCCCAGCAGTTTTCCATTCGGTGGTTGTTTCCTGAGAAGCCTCCGGTAGTATAATCTCTGCTGGGCCCTTTTAACCAGGGCTGCAATGTGAGCCCCCCAGGTCAGGTCCTCTTTTAGGGTAACACCCAGAAACTTAAAACTGGCCACTTGGCTTCCATTGATAATGTGTGTGTGAGTGTGAAGTTGCAGAAGAGAAAGCAGGAAAAAAACCAATATGGAATAGAGTAGAATAGAATATAGAATAGAATAAATATTGGAAGGAATAGAATAGAATAGAATTGAATTGAATAGAATAGAATAGAATAGAATAGAATAAATTTTGGAAAGAATGGAATGGAATAGAATAGAATAGAATAGAATAGAATAGAATAGAATAGAATAGAATAGAATAGAATAGAATAGAATAAATATTGGAAGGAATAGAATAGAATAAATATTGGAAGGAATAGAATAGAATAAATACTGAATAGAATAGAACAGAACAGAGCAGAATAGAATAGAATAGAATAGAATAGAATAGAATAGAATAGAATAGAATAGAATAGAATAGAATAGAATAGAACAGAACAAATATTGGAAGGAATAGAATAGAACAGAACAGAACAGAACAGAAAATACGGAATAGAGTAGAATAGAACAGAACAGAACTTCTTTATTAGCCAAGTGTGATTGGATACACACAAGGAATTTGTCTCCGTGCTCTCAGTTTACATTCAAGCAACAAGTGACAAACCAGAATCCTAAAATACAATCATCCTAATTCATAGGTACAACACTCAGTGATAGCCACAGGATACTAACGCAAGCACCATAAATCCTGATAGGATTCTAAATAAAAGCAATCAACATAAGTCATGGGATACAACAAGGAGTCCTGGTCGTAAGGATCTAAGGAAATAGGTCATAGGAGTGCTGAGAGAGGTGCAGCCTTGCTACCGTGGACGGTTTGATAGCCTCTCTCTCTCTTTTATTCTTCCCTTTCAGCTGTTGAGGAAACGGCACATTGGCAATGACATTGTCACCATCATCTTCCAAGAACCGGGAGCCCTCCCCTTCACACCCCGCTTGGTTCGTTCCCAGTTCCAGCATGTTTTCATTGTGGTTAGAGTACACCATTCCTCCATGGATCATACCACCTACAGGTGAGGAGGGGGGGGGCGGTGGAAATGCTGACAACACCATCCTAACAACATCCTCCTGATCGTTTATAGTGGGGTTTTCCTGGATTGCCTGGATATCAAAAGAGTTTTAATTATGGTTTAATCACCCAGAGGTCACCTGCAAACCAAGATTAGATTAGATTAACGAAAGGGAACTTGTAGGTCACCTAGTCCAACCCCCCCCCCCGGCCAAGCAGGGTTTGGCTTCAGTTTGGGTTGATTTTCACACTTGGGAAGGCTGCCACGTTGCGTGCAACTGTCGATTCTGAAGATTAAGTAGTGTGCAAATCTGAACAATAAATTTGCAATAATGAAGGCGCTTTTCTGTCCATCACAGGCCTGTTTCTTCCTGACATTCTGGGTTCATTAATTTAAGAGTTTGGCCTATCTTACCCCACTCCACCCCGTGATACACGCAGAATCTGGGTTCACACAATTCACTGAATGCAGGTTAAAAAAAAGACCAGTACAGGTAGTCTTCAACCAATGGTTCATTTAGCTACAAAGGTTCATCTACCTGTATTATGTTGTGATGACCCAGGGTGTGCAACAAAGGCAACACAGCCAGAGAATAAGTATGAGTTCCTTTATTAGCTCCCACTTTGCCCCCAACTTCCAGTTACTCTCCGGTCTGGAGAAGAACTCCCCCACAAACCTGCAACAGCCTTTGGCTGCAGATACTTTAGTCCAAAAGTTGTAAACAGTAAAGTTCAAATTATAAATCCAACAAGGTAAGGTAAAGTAAGGTAATAAATCCAGCAGAACAAGATAAGGAGTTCCAGAAGCGAAGCAACACGGCAGTACATCAAACCAGTTGGGAGGATGCCAGGAACTCAGATAACAGCAGCCAACACTAGGTGAACTCAGCGTTTGTTCCCAACAACTGCCCCTCCCATCTGCCTCTCTTTTAAATTCCATTCCCAAGTGTGCCTTGTGAGGGAATCAGGGCCCTTTCCTCCCTCGTAAGGCATGCAACCCACGTTGCTCTCTTCTCCGTTCCTCCCTGCATGCCCTAGGATGAAGAGGGGGTCGGCCTGGTTCTTCCTCTGAACTCCCTCTCCCTTGTTCTACCTCTTCCCTGCTCTGCCCAGCCTGAGTTTTGCCCTTCCCCAGTTTCCTCCACAGCCAATGGAGCCACTTCGAGGGTGGGGCATGATATATATTCATATAACATGCAGTTCCCAGTTGCTTCTGGTGGGCAATGAATCCAGACCTGTCCTTCCCCATGTTAATTTTGTCTTGCGTGTTGTACGAACCCTGCCCCAAAAAGGAATTAAACTGGCCACTAAAATATAGAGAGAAGCCCAACAGGAGGACAACTTAGAGCTTAGAATAACTTTGTTGTCACTTTAAATGCACACTAATTGGCATTTGTTAAAATGGATAACTTCCATCCTGCTGAAATGAGTGAGTTAAAAGAGTTCCGATCTCCCCATTTCCTTTACAGTAAACCTGACCTCATTTTGGCTTACCAGTTGTTTGACGTTTGAATAACATCAGCTCGATTTCCGGGGAGATAAACTTAGCCAAACCTCCTTCATAGTGTTGAAATTTCGCTTTCACATCCTGCTTTCTTTTTAATTTTTCTGTGCAAAATTGTCAGATCATGCATTTGACCTCTCCATAACTCTTTTACACTTCTCTGACCTGTGCCTTGTGCATCCCCCTTGTAGCCTTCTGCACCCTCACCATTGTGCACCCGACTCACACACCCACAACTCTGGGAAGCCGGCTTTTGTACTGATTAAACGTTCTCCCTTTCAGGAATTTCCTCCTTATTCCCAGGTTGAATCTCTCTTTAGTGATCTTCCAGCGGTGATTTATTGTCTCGCTTTCTGGTGCTTTGGAAAATTAGGTAGACTTCCCGTCTCCTTGGTGGCAGCGCCTCAAATCTTGGAAGACTGTTACCAGGTCACCCCTGGTCCTTCTGTTCACTAGGCAAACCCAATTCCTACAACCACGGACCTTGTGAGGTCTCCTAGTCCAACCCCCTGCTCAAAGCAGGAAACCCTACAGCATTTCAGACAAATGGCTGTCCAGTCTCTTCTTAAAAACCTCCAGTGATGGAACAACCACAACTTCTGGTGGCAAGCAGTTCCACTGGTTAATTGTCCTCACTGT